GTGCTAGTCAGGCTCAGAAAAGTGATGTCACAGTAACAAATATCCCTGGCATCTGGTGGCTCCCCTTCCTTGATCCTGGACAAAGAGAAATGGAAGCAATGATGCTACCCGTCGTCTGAGGCCTGATCATAAATGCAGCATGGCTTTTCTCTTGGGATATTCACCCAATTACATCAGGTGCTAAAAACAAATTACCACAAACTGAGAGGCTTCGGATAGCACCCACGTGCACGCCCATTAGGATGCCACTATAAAAAAAATCAGAAAATGACACAAGTTGTCAAGAATGTGGAAGAATTGGAAGCTTTGTACACTGTTGGTAGGAGTGTAAATAAAACAGTGCAGCTGCTATGGAAAACAGTATGGTACCCCCACCCCCAAGTTAAACACACATGATCCAGCGACTCTACTGCTGAATAAGTATCTCAGCGAACTGACAGCAGGGTCTTAGCGATATGTATATTTCTGTTTATAGCACATTATTCACAGTAGCCAAGATGTGGAAGGAACTCTAATGTCTAACAGATGGACAGATCAACAAAATGTGTTGCATCCATACCACGGAGCAGGACTCACTGCTGAAAGAAAGCAAATTCTGGCACATGCTGCAGTCTGGATGAAGCTTGAGGACATCCTGCTAAATGATGATAAAAGGCCAAATCTTGGGCTGGGGATTTAGCTCAGCGGCACAGCGCCTGCCTGGCAAGCGCAAGGTCGTGAGTTCGATTCTCACTACCGGAAAAAAACCAAAAACAAACAAACAAAAAACCAGAACTGACTGTGGTAACAGCTGTGCCAGTGTTGAAGTGACTTTAAAAGGCCAAATCTTGTGATTCTGTTTATTTGAACAGCCTAGAGCAGTCAAGTCCACAGAAACAGAAAGAGGAGTGGTCTTGCCAATGAGTGGGAAATGGAAAGGTTTTTGTTTAATGGGTACAGTTTCAGTTTGGCAAGATAGAAAAGTTCAAGAGATGGGTTGTCCAATAGTATAAAAGTCCATAATTAAAGTGGTAACTTTTATGTTACCTATGTTTTACTACAATTGAAAATTCAAAACCACAGTGCCAGCTGGGCATAGTGGCACACGCCTGTAATCCCAGCACTCAGGAGACTGAGGCAGGAGGATCGTTGTGAGTTTAAGACTAGCCTGGGCTACAAAGTGAGCTCAAGGCCAGCCTGAACTGCATAGCGACACCCTGTCTCAAAAAGACAAAAACAACAACAAGAAGAACTATAGTGCCCATTTATCACAGTGTTGTAAATGAAAAGTTTGCTGGGCTTTCTGGGTTCTCTGCTTAGGATCTCACAAGGTCAAAATAAAAGTATTAGCCAAGCTGGCTCCTTGATCAGGCTTGGGGTCCTAAACAAAGATCATTCGAGTCTCAGTTACTTGCAGTTACAGGACTGAGGTTCCCAATGTCTTGCTGACTCTTAGCTGCGGGGCGGGGCGAGGACGGACAGTCACTTGTGGCCTCTAGAGGCCATTCCAGAACCTATCTACGTGGTCCTCTCCAACTTTGTATGCACTGCTGTAGAAAATCCTTTACATGTCTTAAATCTAACTTCATTTCTGCTGCAGCCAGAGAAAACTTTGCTTTAAAGGGCTTGGGCGAGTGAACTAAACCCACTAAGACAATCTCCCTTCTGATGGCTTCAAACTCCATCACCTGGCAACCTTAAAGGCCTCTGAGAAATCCCCTTTGCCATGTAACGTGTCATTGTGTGTGCTGTATTCCTTTGTGTTCACACCTAGGGTAGAATGTGGGGAGGCTGTTTTAGAATCTTGCCTATTGCAAGCCAAGGCCCCGTGTTGTGAAGACCTACACACAGGCATTCTGACTACAGCCCCAGCTAAGGTCTTAGCGAACAGCCTGCACCAACTGTCAGACAGATGTGTCTGATCCTGTAGATGGTTCCAGCTGTCTGTTCTCAAACCACCCCAGCTAACTCCCCAGAACTTCTGGAGCAAAGACATACCAGCCCCAAGTTCCCAAATTCCTAAATAATTGTTTTATAGACAGAGGTGGTATCATGTGCCTGTAATTCCAACACTCTGGGAGGCTGGGGCAAGGGAATTGCAAATTGAAGCCCAGGTTGGAGAATCAAGCTGGAAAAAGGCTAGGAAGCTGTAAACAGAGCTTCATGGGAGATTCTAGTCAAAGATCAGAAGACCAGAATGCTGACAGAAATGTGACACTAGAGGCCAGGTTCATGAGGTTTCAGTTGGGGACAAGGATTTCATTGGTGAATGGACTACAGGCCATGTGTGTTATACTCTGACTAAAAAAAAAAGAAAAAAAAAGTTTTTATTTTTAGCCATGTCCTGAAACTGTGGGAGGCTAAGATTAAGGGTGGTAGATGAATTGATCTGGTGGAGGAAATTTCAAGGCAGCCCAACATTCAGATTGTGGCATGGGTACTGCTTGCTGCTTTTAGCCAAATTTATAGTGAGATTCAAGGACAAAAAAAAAAAACTTAATTTGTAGCTAATAGAGAGCCAGGTATAAAATTGGGGCTAAAAGAGGTGTGGTTGCTATAGAGACTGTTGCCATTAAAAAGCAACTAAGTACTTTGTATAGGGACAAACGGCATCATTACAGGATCAAGGATGCAAAAATGTCAACTTTTTACTTGAGAGTCCCTGGACCCCTGCTCAAGAACAGCCTCACAGAATTGGTTTCCTGGGATTCATTTCCCCACGCTCATCCATCCCAGCACTCACAGGCCCCTACAGCCAGGGTCCAAGAGCACCTGGCAACAGCTCAAACTGGCAGCAGACCGTGTTGCACCTCTGGTACTAGTTTTATTGGCATGCAGAATTCAAGAGCTATGAGGTCATAGAGGCTCCTACCCAGATTTCAAGGGAAGGTCTCAAGGAAGGTTTCAAAGCAATCGGCCCCTGAGAGGACAGTGCATGAAGCTGAGGGAATGAAGCCACAGAGGCAGTGGGGAATCCAGGAGATACCAGAGAAGTGGGATTTATGCCAAGACAAGCTGTCGACTGAGTGGATCTAGTCCAAAACAGAGTCCATGTGGGCTGTAGCCACCAAGGCCATAGGGGTGGGGTTGCCTATGCCCTTTGGAACTCACGTCACATCACTGTGTGCTCTGGATCCAGACATGGAGCTATAGGACTTAATGCTTGCCTTGCTGACTTTTGCTCTTGCTTTGGTCCTCCCCCTACACCTCTCTTTCTCTACTGGATATTGAACCCAGGGTCTTCATACTCTGTATCCTCAGCCTTTTTAATTTTTTTTTTTTAATTTTGAGACAAGGTCTTGCTAAGTCACTAAATTGAACTTGCTGTTCTCCTGCTCAACCTCCCACCTGCTGGAATCCCAGGTGTGCACCACCATGCCCAGCAAGTCTTATTTTCTATCCTCCTATTCCTACCTTTTGGAATGGAAATGTTTGCCCTGTGCCATTGTACTTTGGGATTATAGTAACTTGTTGGATTTTTACATGAGTTCACAGCTAAGAGTTTGCCTTGAGTCTCAGAGGAGACTTGGACTTGAACTTGTGGCAATGCTGGCTTGCGCTGTTGAGACTTTGTGGAAGGGATTATTGTGCTTTCTGGTTGTATGCTGGATAGCTGTATCATATGAGGCAGAACTATGACCTTGTACTTACATGGGGATTAAGTATGGTTTAAATCCATGTGTTTGTGTATCAATTTGACAAGGAGTGGAATGTGAAACTTAAAGCAGATTAGGAACATGATTGGCCTGGCAGCTGCCCAGGGAATTAAGAAAGCATTCTTCTGGGTGAGTCTGGGTGGATCATGGAGGCATGACCTTAGGTTCTACATCTGTAAAGACCTCCCTCACCCCTTTCTACTAAAAACTATTTCCCTGCTCTGTTTCCCAGTGACCATAAACTAAACAGCTTTGTTCCCCCATCCCCTTCCTCCATGGCTTTCCTACCTTGAATGTAGCTTACCATGGACCACATAAACCATTTCCTCTTTTAAACTGTGGGTGTTTGGTATTTGGTTCCAGGACTGGGAAAGATGACTAATACAATTCTTTGGAACTACTGAAACAATGACCCCAAGATACCCCTACCTCTACTCTTTCTGCTATGTTGTATAATATTAACTATCTTGTTAGGGACCTTTGCATTTGCAGTTTCCTCTGCTGGAATGGTCCCTCCTCCACTCAGCTGTCTGCGCAGCCTTCTCCTTTCCCTTTAGCTCTTTACTCAAATGTCATCTTGCTGAGGCCACCCTACATAAAATCAGACCTCTTGGCCACACTCTCCATTCCTCTTCCCTGTACTGTTTTGTTTTGTTTTGTTTTGTTTTTTCCATAGAACTTACTGCTCCAGCATATTGTATGTGCCATATAAATACGCTCTCTGGATATTTATTTTATCCATCTCCCTCACTATACCACAACCACTACAAGGAGAGGGACTTCTGTCCATGTCTCCAGCATCTACCAGTAGAACTGTGCTCAATGCTTAGAATATGACCAATAAACACTTGTTAGATGAACGACGAATGGTCTGAGTTCTTTTGGCTGGCCTTTCTGTTACTTTCAGCTAAAACGGCTGGTTCCTGGCATTCTACCTACCATGAGCTCCCCATTTTTATCTCTCTGCTCAATCCCTTTTGTTTGGTGCTTACTCCAAATGACTCCCACTCCAAGCCCGGCATGGTGGTGCATGCCTGTAATCCTAGCACTCAGGAGGCTGAGGCAGGAGAATCACTGCAAGTTCGAGGCCAGCCTGAGCTACATAACAAGACCCTGTCTCAAAAGCAGCAAAAACAAAAACAAAAACAAAATAACTCCCACTCCAGACTGACATTCGATCCTTGTTCACCCTGGCTTCCAGACATTATCATCTGTAGCACCCCTCACTCCAGGTTCCAGAACCCCTGGCTAAGGATAGGCCTGACCTCCCCTGGCCCCATAGGTGAAAATAGACCACATCAGGGATCTGTCTGAGGCTACAACTTAAAAACAGAAAACAAAAAACAAAAAAACACGTGGTGCTGTGAGACGCAGTTTATTCAGATTTGGTTACTGCTGGGAGAGGGAACCTGACAGGAGGGGGACTCCGCACCCCACTCAGCCCCCTGCCCATCCCAGCCCAGACAGGACTGACACGGGCTGATCTCAAAGCCTCAGGTGTGGGTGTGCTGGGTCCTCAAGCCCCACCTTGGCTGCCGGGACTTTACCTGAAGAGGGAGACAAAGGAGCACTTTGCTTCCCAAAATTTGAGGGCATTTAGTCTAACGTTGGGGGTTCCCTACTTTGAGGAGGTAAGCTTAGCTTTTGGGGCGCCCTGATCTGAAGGAGAATGTGGGCATTTTCAATCTAACAAAGAACAGAACAGCGCAGGGTGAGGGAGGTTTGGCTGGAGGGGCCTCTTGTCTGAGGGTGGAGGTGTAGCCCTAGTGCGGCAGAGGCCTGGCCTCGGTGTGGAGTGGGTGGCCCTGGCCCGGGAGGGGAAGGCAGAGCTTGCTGGGCGCAGGTCCAGCCCTTGGGGACCCTGCCACCAGGAAGCGGGCGTGGCCTTGGGGAAGCCGGGTCTGAGGTTTGGCCTGGCTTCGGGAAGCCGTAGTCTGCGAGGGCAGGCTCGCCCCTGCTTCCCGGTTCCATCTCCAGCCGCTTCGAGGCGCAGGCGTGGCCCGCAGAGGCGAGCCCGGGACAGCCGTCGTGGGCCAGGGCGGGCCGGGCGCGAGTCCTCAGCAGAGCGTCGCGGCCCCCAGGGCCACCGCCAGCAAGGGCAGGGCCAGGCGGAG